TTGAAAATTAAAAAAAATCCAAACTTAGAAATAAAAATACGATATTAAATTCAAATTTTCAGGAAAAGAGGATTCTGAAAACTTTTTTTATAAAAGATATGGATTAAGGAGGTCTGTTAAACTGTGAAGAGTATAATATAGAATGCCGAGCATTATAATATATCTTAATTCTAGTTATTATTTGCTATGGCGATACAACTAAATTTACAGATTGTATCATTCGAATTATACATGATAAAATCCCGGAAGAACCCCACCCATAATCATAAAAAATAAATTAACAAATACATAAATACATAATCCACGTCAAGGCTAATACAATTTAATTTTTGATGTTTGACGTTTAAAAGCTCAATTATAAATTATAATGAGTTGTACTTGCCATACAAATTAAATCATTACAGAAAATCTCCAAAAAGGAAATGTAGGTACTTAGGATAAGTTTTGTGTTGTAACTCTATTAAAATGATTCAGATTAAATGTCGCCCATTTTACAAAATCCATCAGGTACGCCTCTGTTTTTGGCCCACATCCGTATCCACGGTAGTTTTCCAAACGTCCACGGAAAGCGGGAAAAGTGTCGCTGGCCAGGAATTCTTGCCCGACAGACGAGAGATAGCCTCGTAATTTAGTGGTTTCAGCCAACCGCACTTTCTCGCTAACTGGAATCCATCACGGTAAAAAACCGACCACGAAGAATGTATCGTATCGCGATTTTTTGCCGCCTTTAGAAAAGAATTACAATCTTTCTAGATGGATTCTCTGGAAAAAGTATAAGGTTATTATTATGGTGTGAGATAAGTATTTCGTATTACATATTAAGACATTTTTTAAGTCTTTTTAGTATTCCGTCCCCCCTAACTCAATTTTTAAAATATATGGAATCACCTTGGTGTCTATACATCTATATGTCACGAGTAATTTATTCAGAGACTATTTTTAATATACACAATTGAAGTTTTAAAAAGTTATAGCAAGTAGTAGTTAACTTAAAAAGTATATTTTTATCTTAGGGGTCCCTTTTGCAGGATTACATTGTGGGTTAAACAAAAAATCTATATTGATGCCATCGTGAAATGAAAGCTTTATGAGCACCATTTCAAAAATGCATAATACGTTCCCTTGCGTTTCGTTAATAACGGTATTGTAATATAGACCATTTTGCCATTTTTTTTCATTAAATATAACTGAATCAGTTTTGTTTTCAGATATCACAACATGTGGTGAAATAGTATATTACATCACGATTGTGGAAAGTGACATTTTTCACACGACTGAGAAGTATTGTCTCACGAGGCATAAGCCAAGTGCGACAATCACACGAGTGTAAAAAAGTGGTGTACAATATTTTTCCTAGGACGGCAAAATAATTTCATTTAAAAAAAAAGTAAACTAAGAAATCTAGCTATGAAGGTTTCATCAAGATGCGGCTGGTTTTAAATTTGTTTTTTACAAATCTTATTGAATAATTTTTAAAGCATTTCACAGAATTAAAAATATTGTGATTCCACTTACAAACAATTTCATGATGATAAAGATAAAATAACATCAGGTACAAAAAATATTAGAATACATTAATGTTTTTAATTGGCTGAGCTAGCATGGGGAAGGGACGGCTATTATTATTATTTACTGTGGCGCTCCGGGGCGACTTAAAGATGATTGATGGTGCCATTTGAGGTGAGGAAAACAGTACATATTGTTCACCCCGTACACTGTATCCAACTACAAATAGTAGGCAAAATACACGATGTGCTACTTTTTTGTGCAGTCAGATAAAGGACTATATCTACTGCCCACTCGTATAACTACGATGGCATTCATACGATTATGAGAAATTTATATTTAAATGAAATTATCAGATTATCGTACTGGTCATTGCATCATTGATAAATTATAAATAAAAGATTCCATTATTAAAACCGATAGATGTTATACCTACATATATGTAACGCTCAGAAAAATCTGTAAAAATCACAAACAAAGAGAATAAGGTACAGATTGAAAGAAAATTATCAAGAATATGCATTCCGTTACATAGTTTTTTTTATACAAAAAAAAAACCAACGAAAGCACTACTGTACTGATACATTCTATCAGAGCCTTGCCTAACTTTATCAACATAATAGTCTGTAACAGTCAAATTTTTTTATTAGTTCATTTTAAACTTTACCACTTATAAAGTCCTTCAACAAAGTTTTCAGATATCACTGGAGGCCGAAGAAATAATTGTTAAAGTTGTTCATAATGACCCGTGACGTATACCAATAAACCCACAGAATTTAACTTTTATTGCTAAATGTCTACTTTTATTTTCCTATGTCTCATCCCTGTGTGTATTGTACGAATAGTAAACTAACAAGTCATAAAAGTAATTTTTTACTTTCCTATCTGTGTACAGATAATTAGTTTCCTATCTGTACACGGATAAGGAAAGTATAGGATTCATGATTTTTTTCGATCTCCAGTTTTCGACGGATTTTTACGTTTTAGGGTCCCCTGAATCTTTTTCGACTATTTTCGCGATGATGTTTGTCTGTTTGTGTGTGTGTGTGTGTGTGTGTGTGTGTGTGTGTGTGTGTGTGTGTGTGTGTGTTGTGTGTGTTGTGTGTGTTGTGTGTGTTGTGTGTGTTGTGTGTGTTGTGTGTGTTGTGTGTGTTGTGTGTGTTGTGTGTGTTGTGTGTGTTGTGTGTGTTGTGTGTGTCGTGTGTGTTGTGTGTGTCGTGTGTGTCGTGTGTGTCGTGTGTGTCGTGTGTGTCGTGTGTGTCGTGTGTGTCGTGTGTGTCGTGTGTGTCGTGTGTGTCGTGTGTGTCGTGTGTGTCGTGTGTGTCGTGTGTGTCGTGTGTGTCGTGTGTGTCGTGTGTTGTGTGTATCGTGTGTGTCGTGTGTGTCGTGTGTGTCGTGTGTGTCGTGTGTGTCGTGTGTTGTGTGTGTTGTGTGTGTTGTGTGTGTTGTGTGTGTTGTGTGTGTTGTGTGTGTTGTGTGTGTTGTGTGTGTTGTGTGTTGTGTGTGTTGTGTGTATTGTGTGTGTTGTGTGTGTTGTGTGTTGTGTGTGTTGTGTGTGTTGTGTGTGTTGTGTGTTGTGTGTGTTGTGTGTGTTGTGTGTGTTGTGTGTGTTGTATGTGTGGTGTGTGTTGTATGTGTTGTGTGTGTTGTGTGTGTTGTGTGTGTTGTGTGTGTTATGTGTGTTGTGTGTGTTGTGTGTGTTGTGTGTGTTGTGTGTGTTGTGTGTGTTGTTGTGTTGTGTGTGTTGTGTGTGTTGTGTGTGTTGTGTGTGTTGTGTGTGTTGTGTGTGTTGTGTGTGTTGTGTGTGTTGTGTGTGTTGTGTGTGTTGTGTGTGTATATATCCTCGATAACTCATAAAGGGATACAAAGAAAAACATCAAATTTATATACTTTTGAAAGATACTTATTCAGTGTCTTCTCCGCCTCATATCATTTTTCGAGAAATATTTGCACACGAGCAACACGTTAGGAAATCCTCTAAACTTTTTACTTTCCTATCTGTATACAGATATAAGGAAAGTATAGGAATCATGATTTTTTTCGACCTCGAGTTTTCGACGGATTTTTACGTTTTGAGGTCCCCTGAATCCATTTTGACTATTTTCGCGATGATGTCTGTGTGTGTGTGTGTGTGTGTGTGTGTGTGTGTGTGTGTGTGTGTGTGTGTGTGTGTGTGTGTGTGTGTCTGTGTGTCTGTGTGTGTGTGTGTGTGTCTGTATAACGCATAACTCATGAACCGATACACAGAAAAACACCAAATTTTAAACTTAAGCTTTGTTTTAGCGTCCAATGAGCTGATTAGATTTTGGGCAGAGTCGGAACATCTGGGGGGGTACTTTATAGGTGGTCATTTTTATATTTCATGGAATATATCTGTTATTTACGTTTCGAGAAGAAAATTCTTCAAATAAAAGTTACTTCTAATATAATTATCTATAATTTTTGTTCTATGCAAAATTTTCCTAAAATGGTCCGTATTCGAGAAATTTGACAAAATGTAAAAAAAATAATTTTTTATAAAAATTGATCAAATAAAAGTTGTTTGTAATATAATTTTCAATATTTTTTATTCTATACATAATTTTTTTAAAATGGACCGTATTCGAGATATTTGAGAAAATGTGTAAATTTCGAATTTTGAAGAAAACTCAAAAACGGATAAAGAAAAAAACATTAAATTTTAAACTTAAGGTTTATTTCGGCCTGACGTGAAATTATTAGATTTTAGACATAGTCGGAACATCTGGGGGGGTACTTTATGGGAGGCCACTTTTATATTTTATGGAATATATCTGTTATTAATGTTTGGAGAAAAAAATTCTTCAAATAAAAGTTACTTCTAATATTATTATCTATAATTTTTGATTTATGTAAAAATTTCCTGAAATGGTCCGTATTCGAGAAATTTGACAAAATGTGCAAAATTTTGATTTTTATGAAAGTTTTTGAAATAAAAGTTGTTTGCGATATCGATCTCTATAATTTTTGTTTATACATGATTTTTCTAAAATGGACCGTAATGAAAAAATTGTAGGAAATTTTAATTTTTCAGTATTTTCGTTTTCCATGAATATCTATAGAAAAATGTTTCGAGGTAGATGTATGTGGACAATGTATATATTTAGTTTATCCTCTAAACATGTATAGAGATGCTGCAATAGGTTGTACAAAATAACCGGAAAAAGCCTATAATAACTAGATAGGAAAGTCATGTGTTGGACACATCAGATTTTTATCTGTAATAATTCGAACGTTAATTTCTAAATTATCAGACGATTTACCGTTAGGTGCACAACTCGATATTATATATGGTTTGTTAAACCGTAAAGTACGAAAACGTTTACCGAGATATAATTTGATAATTTTGAGGACCTTTTAACTCATATTCGCGACATAGAACATATAAAAGAAATTGATGATTCTTCGAGTAATTTACTTTAAACTTAAATGACAAAAATGATAAAAAGTCTTTACGCTGTATCTATTGTAAAAAAATGGACATTTTAAAGAAAATTGTAGGCGGTTACAAAAATAAGACAAATCGCAGCGTTTCGGTGGATAATGATTCGCCATTATCTGCAACTGCAAGAAGCGAATCGACAGTCCCTAAACCCGTGTGTTATGGTTGTGGTACTCCGGGTGCCGTTAGGCCAAAATGTATGACATGCCAAAACAAAAATGCTCCATCAACCTCATCTAGTAATAGTTTAGGTTTGTATCAGATTTCTGTTGAAAATAATGTTTCTCCTGATAATTCGGCTTTATCATTTTGTTCAGTGACTACGCTCAGGCCTTTATTGCCTATCCAAATTGCAAATGCTGAAGGTGTAGGTTTTGCTAATTCTAGTGCACATAGTAGCATCGCCGGAGCTAGTTTGTATAATTTAATTAAACAAAATGGTAATTATGTTGTTACACTACACCCTGCAGTGGCTTGCGGCCGTTATAAGAAACGTACAAGTACGAAAATAAGTGCAATGTCACCTATCACACTATAGTGTGCTGCGATCATCATAAGTAAAAGTACGAGTAAAAGAAGATAGAATAGTCCAGAAATGTCTGGAAACGTCATTATTTGTCAGGAAAATTCTAGGCATTTCGAGAAGGTTCGATAAGTTTTCAGTTTTACGATAGACGTTATACGTTAATGTTATCAGTTGGAGTTATTGTAAAAGTTGAATTGAGTTGTTGTTAAAGTTTGAATTAAAATAAATTCAGATAACAAAAACCTGCGTAACAATATATTTATAAAAGAAAAAATAAATATGTTGACGGAGCTATTCAAGATAAGAATGTTCTTAAAGTCACTCTCGATGTTTTAATTGAAAACAAAGTGGTTCCAGTTACGTAGCTTTTAGGAGTAGACTTTTGAATCCAATTAAGGAAGTTAATTTTTGGCCCAAACTAAATTACATAAATTTGATTAGCTAAGAGTCTTATTGATAAATTAAAGGTTATTTATAGACATAAATAGAATAAATAAAAAATATATATACATAAAAATATTTAATTTCATTGCATTTCGTTAGTCATAAAAATAATTCCAATTTCACCCGTATAAAACCATAACAATTTCACTGTCTCACTAAATTGGAACCATATGGAAAACTTTTTTATTTATTCTTGATAAAATGTTAAAAGTTCTCCATGGTTCAAATTTTAAAATGCAACCATAACCGTATACGAGATTTGTAAAAAATATGATTTTTGCTGAAGAGTATAGTACATTACATTACGAGTGTGGAAAGTGACATTTTTCACACAAGTGGGAAATATTGTCGCACGAGGCACAAGCCAAATGCGACTATCACACGAGTGTGGAAAATCACTTTTCACACAAGTGATGTACAATATTTTTCCTACGACCACAAAATAATTTCATCAAAAAATGTAAAACCAGGTTATTATTATAATAATTAAAATGTATTTAAAAAAATAATCAACAATAATCGTATTTATTCAATTTTCATATTTTCTAAACAAAAAAAATTAAAAAACAAAAAAAAATAAAAAAAAAACAAAAAAAATTCTGGCCCCGCTAGGATTTGACGATAATTCTCGTATACGACTAATAAAATTTGATATCCGATGGTTGTATTTTAGGTTTTAGACTTTTAGTGAAGTGACGAATAACTTTTTTTTCTAATATTAATATTAAAAACTGTTTCATATGCCACCAACTTAGGTAGACAGTTGCTGCATTCACTTTACCGTCCAACTTGTTTAAAAGTTGCTCAAAGTTGATTTTATTGACTATATTATAATCTAATGCAAAATCCGCTCTTTTATTAATTATTGAAATTTAGCTTCGTTATTGAAACCATGACCCTTATCCCACTGTTCACCTAATTAAATTCATCATAAGTTAAACGAATTTTCAATCGCTGAGGGCACTTAGATGCCATTTTCGTTGAGCAAACTTTTAAAACGGCAATCCTAACTTCCAAGAACTCTAATTTTGTTTTGTTAAAGCTCTGGAACCGAATTCGTATAGTCTCTTTCATTTTAAGATTTCAAATTTAATTAATAAGAATTTACCAATTAGGAGTCATTTTATGTATTAGATTGAAACCAGTGGTAATTAATTATATAGGATACCTAATTAAATATTGCTATAATTGAAAAATTAGCTTAAGAATGTCTATATCAACAGTTCTGTTTAAACTAAATAAATCCATTTACGTATTAATAATAATAATAATAATAATAATAATAATAATAATAATAATAATAATAATAATAATAATAATAATAATAATAATAATAATAATAATAATAATAATAATAATAATAATAATAATAATATTTTTATTGACCATTTAAAATACAATATTTGAAAAAAAATAAAATACAACTTAAAAAAAAAATTAAAGTACCAGAAATAAACATGGTCAAGCTGTTCTTCCTCAAAGGCCTGCAAATGTAATCTAAACTAATCTAATAGGGTGTAACACATGTATATTATAATTTGAATAAAATTGGTACTAAGATAGTACTCTGCAGTACACCATACTGAATAACTGCTTGTTATGGTGCACGATATTAATTTCTTTGCCATGAAAATTCGATGGAAAGATGTAAGGCTTATCATTTTCTAGGTATTTTTATATTTTCTTTGATAGGTTTTTGTAACCATACCGTTTATCAGACAACTAGTTATGCTTACTTATCAGTTAAACTAAATAAGTAGGGGAAAGTATTGTACCTTAGATCAAAATTATTTGAACACCTCTATATGGTTAATGACTTTTTGAACGATGTTAAAAATTAACATTATTGTTTAACTTATCTACTTTTAGAAAATTAAAAAAAGTTTGGTTTGGTCCAAGGTAAAAAAACAAATTGTACCTTGGACAATGCTTGACTCTACCTTGGACTAACAAGGAAAATAATTGAGTAATTAAGTACTTTAGTTTCTCCTATTTAGTTTTTATTAAATATAACTTTTTATAACAACTGGACTGTATATAAAAAAAAAGTAAACATTGAAAACTCAAAAAAATATAATAATGATGAATTTTAATTAATATTATACTGTCAAAAATCTACAAAAAAGACTAATTGTTAAAGTTGAAGGTAGTCACTATGTGTGAGTTATAGAATAAAGGGAAGGAAATAAAACTAGGTCCTTAAGTTCTTTCAGAATTAAATTAATGAATTAATGAAAAAGAAACAAAAGGAGAACTTCCCGTTATTTTTTGTTAACGTCAACCCACAAAGGAAGGACCTAACTAAAGAATTTTACAGATGCCAATGACTAGTGGTTAGAATAGAAAAACTAACAGCACCAATTAGATCAACTCAGTGCAATATATGGTAGGGTTTCCATCACACGCATTCGAACTGCAGAATGAGCATTAAGTGTGTTAGATGCAAAGAGAATCACATAATAAAAGAATACCTAATACCAAAATTAACAAAGGCGACTTATACAAACTGCCAAAGACTGCTCACACTGTTCCTGTTCACAAGTTATGCCATGATAACAAAACCACAAACCCGAAATATGACGAAAACCCAAAATGCAACGAGAACACACAAACATTCAAAAACTCATGTCAGTTTTTGAAAGCTTAATGAAAGAAATAATTAATTAATTCAGGTGAGTATGCAATAACCACTTTTTCCGCAACAGATGACCAGCAATCAACGGATGATTGACAGTTTTTTGTTGACTCGGTTCGTTACTATTTAATAGGGACAAGCTGAGCTCCAGTGACGGCTCGTAATCAAAATATGGGGGTTCACAATGACAGAATATTGATCTTAGTACATGTTTAGCAGTGTTTTAGAAAGATATATTATAAACAATGAAAATTTTTTACCTAAATCTTTACAGAGATCTATATTTTGTCAATGTGAACCCCAATATTTTGGTCACGCGCGCTAAACAGCTAAGGACATTATGTAACAGATAATACTTGATTTGTCCATTTTAAAACGACACTATTTTGAAAAGAGCTGGTAGCCAATACGGTTTTGGGATTTAAAGGAAAATAATTTTATTTTGACATAATTACATTAAGTTTATGAATTATGGAATTCAAAATAACAAAAAATAATATTTCTTTATAAAATATTTTTAAAAATAATTAATATTCATTTAAAAACAACTTTAAAATGTAAAGAATTCGACAAAAGTAAACTAAAAATAAAAACAAATATATTTTTGCTTAGTTTTAACTTAAATTACAATGAAAGCGATGTGATTTTTTTATTTTATAAGTTTCGTGAGCCCACTTCTTATACAAACTACGTACGTTTTAATGCGACATTACCAATAACAATTTATTGCCTTTTTAAATAGGTCTCCTAATTAAAAAAAAAATATTTTATTGATTGAAAAAGTTGCTACCTACTTTCTGTGCCTAAGCACCTGAGGTGGGATTTATGTCAATCCAAAGTTAGATGCCGACTAACTACAGTGAAGAAGGGGTGAGTCGTAGAAAAAGTGATGTTTGTGAGTGGGCGCCAGGAGTTTAACCTCACATCCAACGATCCATGTGACAGTTCACTACCAAACTCCAAATAGGAAACTATAGCATCTCCTCTACAAGGCCATCAAGCGGCTACAAATCGAGTATGCTCCTCTTATATTATATCAGTTACTTTACCACAAAAATAGATGCTGACAGTTAGCAAGTGGGGATAAATAATAAGTTAAGTTCAATATATACCCAAGTTTAATAATATAAATATAAATCGTGTTGACATAGGAGGTCAACTTCGTTCACACTATGAAATATACAAATATTTACCAAATTAATAACAACTAAATCACTTAGTACATTACTATCAGATTCCCAAACTATTAACAGTAATCCAGTATCACTAAGAGTAATATTTACAACTAAAACGCTATGTTAAACTTAAAAATCATTAAATGGGACTAGAGGTAATCGTAAAAATGTAACACATGAGGTGTGTACTGTATTTAGCAAATAAACAAATAATAGTATACTATTTACGGACGCTAGGGGTAAAAACATGTAAAACTGCGTTACTTATTAAAAATATTAACTACCCTTAAGAATATGCCCCACAAAGAGCTCTTAGTGACGTGTTTCGGGTTTAATAAAAATTAACTGTAAACCATACATCCCTAAACCTCGTTTACATTAGGTTTAGATTAAAACACGTACTAATAACACCCCTCAATAAAATAGATTAAATAGTTATAAGTAATATAAAAAAATAAGATAGCAAAACTT